ACCTGGTCAGTATAGCTGTATTTGGGACAACTGGTCGTCTTGATACATGCACAGCTATAATGACCCGGTGTTGTATTCTGCTGAATCTCGTAGGTGGTGTCAGTATGCTTCAAGCGCTGTCCTGGAAGAGTTTTGTTGTTGCTCATCGATAGAAGTTTTGGATGCAGATGCATCGCTTGGCACGATTTTGTGTGTAATGGCATCTCACTTTTTTTTCACTGCTGCTGCTGTTCTGTCTGTGTGCGTGGGGCATGTGTGTGTGTGTGGGTGAGTGCAGACCCCTCGACGAATGTGCTGCAAGTCGGTCGAGATAGATTCGAGTATTGGAACGGCTACGATAAGGATTGGATTGTGTAGTAAGGGAGAGGTTATCGCGTAGCGGCGTGAGAGTGGTTTTCCTTTTCTTTTTCTTTTTCGCCATTGTTCTCTTTCTACGATGGCGTTTGAACCATTGGCGGCATATTGTGGCCATTGGAACGACCATCTTCTGAGCTAGGATGTCTTTGGGTGGTTTCCGGCGGGCGGGTGAGTTGAGTAACTGGGTGGGAGGGGTGCAGCATGTAGCAAGGGGGAAGGGGGGAGAGGGGGAGGGCAGGTGTGCTGCTTTCGAGGAGATATCACTTCGCATAAGGGAATATACGCAGGGAATACTCGCAAGCAGGATACTGCAGGATGGAACGAGGAGAGAGAGGTGTTAAGGGGGGGCAGCGGCGGCGTGCTGTTTTTCACTGGGGTATTAGTTGGTTGTGCAGGCTCGTCAGCGAAAGTGGGGGCTGTTTGTAAGTGGGTGAGTTGCAAAACTGTGGGGGACAGCTGCACAGCCTGTAGCAAGGGGCGGAAGGTGTGCTGTTTTTTTTTTTCTCAGGGAAAGACGGCTTTCTTTGCATAAGGGCATAATACTCACAGGTGGGCCTTTTTGTTTTTTTTTCCGCGCAATCTGAATCTGCCGCAATTACGGCCAGATACGACCAGAAAAGAAGTCGTGGTTTATGAGTACGCCCTTCTCAAGGCAATCCAGTTGCGTACAGGAGACCAGCTGAGACATCTTGCCACAGGATGCCCCATGACGACCTGTCGTGGAAAGGAGAGCGGAGGCCAAGGGCATACTGACAGTTGAACCTTTTTTTTTCAAAACAATCTGGCCACAATTACGGCCAGATACGTCTGGACAAAAAAAAAGCGGTGGTAAGTTTGTGAGTACGCCCTAAGTCGATCCAGCTAGTCACGTAAGACCAGCTGAGATACCCTGGCATGGAAGGAGAGGTTAGGTATCGCTTTCTCAGTGGTGCCTGCCGCAGCGCGCAATGCGCAATGCTATCCTGCTTGTAATAAGCGAAGGGATTGTGTTGAAAACTTGAAGAGAGGAGATGTTGCAGCCTCACAGGAAACTACTATGATGCGGCAGACTGACGGCAGAGGAGCTTGTGTTGTGATTTGCGAGGATGAGATTTGTGTGTCTTATCTTGTTTGAGACTTGAGTTTGTTGTGACTAGACATTGTGCTTTCATTTGTTTCGTTGTCGGTATTTCGCGACCAAGTCGGCAGACAGCAGACAGACTGTGGAGGGGCTTGCCATTTGCAGGAAATTGATTGTCTCATTTTTTTGAGATGAGGTTTGTTTGTTTCTTGACGTTGTGCTTCCGTTGTTTCGTCGTCGGTATTTCGACCAATCCGGAAGCGGAGTTGGATTTGGTTAATCTGCGTTTTGTTGGGAGGGTTAGAAAGAGGGAGCGTCTGGACGTAATTGTGGCCAGATTGTTTTGTTGTTAGTCGAGGTGGTGGGGGGGGCGCGGAATGTGGCAGCGAGGTTTGAGCTTCTGTTGCTTCCTCGTTGGTATTTCGGCGAATTCGGAAGCGGAGTCGGGGTGGGTTGCTCCGCGTATAATCGGCGCGTATTAGTGTTGGGACTCCTTGGGAGAGGGTTAGAAGAGGCGGAGGGGGAGCGGACCGAGTCGTGGGAAGAAGCAGCGTAGAGGAAAGGGAGATGGTGGGGGTGGTCGAGGTGGGGGGGGGGGGCGCGGAATGTGGCAGCGAGGTTTGAGCTTCTGTTGCTTCCTCGTTGGTATTTCGGCGAATTCGGAAGCGGAGTCGGGGTGGGATCCTCCGCGTATAATCGGCGCGTATTAGTGTTGGGACTCCTTGGGAGAGGGTTAGAAGAGGCGGAGGGGGAGGGGGAGCGGACCGAGTCGTGGGAAGAAGCAGCGTAGAGGAAAGGGAGATGGTGGGGGTGCGCGGGTGCAAAATCCGACAGCGAGGTTGACTCTCGCGATGCGTACGTCGGAAAAAATTCCCCTGTGGGCAAAGAGCACACGGAACCCAAGTAAGTACACCATGACCTCCCCTGTGTAACGGCGGCGGCGGTTCAAAGCTCTACGGCCAGCCCCAGCGAGACTTGGCAGCCAACGCCAGCAAGGCTCGGCTCGGCTCGCCACAGATCTCCTCCAGAGTCCCGACCTATATGTGGTATGGCGGATTCTCCTCACCCCTTTCTCTACGCAAAGCGTTTCACAAAGCCTTGCCGACTCCATGAGCATAAGTAGGACGGTGTGATTTTTTGACTTTTGCTTCCAGTGAAATTCCTTCATCTTCATCTGTGCTTTCAGGGTCAGGGTTGGTGCAATGTTGGTCAGGTGGCGATGTGGCATTTTATAGTTGACCAGAGCCAGTGTCTCCATTGGACCAAGTTTCTTTTTGTTGAACCAGGACCAGAAGTGGAACAGGGTCCAATTTCAGATCAGTAGGTGCATGGAATCAGGTCCTTTGTCAGACCAGCATGTCCACTGAGCCAGGATCTGCATCAGGCTCTGTATCCAGTTCATTTTGTCGAACCAGGATCAGGATCAGGATCAGGATCTGGATCCGCATCTGGTTCATTCGTTGAACCAGAGGATCTGGATTGAACGAGGTTTGCCTGTCAGACCAGGTTCTTTTTGCTTGACCAGGATCTCGATTGGACCAGATTCCCTTTCAGACCAGCATGTCCACTGAACTAGGATCTGGATCAGGCTCTGTATCCGGTTCATTTTGTCGAACCAGGATCAGGATCTGGATCCTCATCTGGTTCATTTCGTTGAACCAGGGGATCTGGATTGAACGAGGTTTGCCTGTCAGACCAGGTTTTTTTTGCTGGACCGGGATCTCGATTGGACCAGATTCCCTTTCAGACCAGCAGTGCCATTGAATCAGGTTCTCTGCCACACCAGGTTCTCCTCTGAACCAGGATCTGCTTCAGGTTCCGGTACCAGCTTCGTTTTGTTGAACCAGGTTCTGGACCGGGCTCGTTTTGTTCGACCAGAGGATCCCGGTCGAACCTGGCTCCCCTGTCCGACCAGGTTCTTTTTGCTGGACCAGGTTTCTTTTTGCTGCATCAGGCTCTTTGTCAGACCAGGGTCTCCATCGAATCAGGTTCTCCACGGAAACGTCGTATGGTTGCTATGGTCTGTCGTCAGCTCCGCTCATGCGACAAGGAAGATGAGTATGCGGGCCTGTGATGTTGCTGTCGAAAATCTATTTTCGGCGCCGGATTACGTAAGAGGTAAACCAGGTCGCTGTTGAAGTCGGGAATGCAGTTCAGTGAATCTGGTCCATGCGACAAGGACGATGAGTATACAGGCCTGTGATGGGGACCGTGGTCCCGTTGATGCTGCCAACAGGAATGGAGTTCGGTGAATCTGGTCTATGCGACGAGGATTGGCGTGAGTAGAGGAACCCGTCCTCATCCGCTCCTGCTAAGGGGTTAAGGGTCCCCTCTTTTTCCTCCCTTGCCTTAAGGGCTGGCAGACAGGTTTTTGCTTGGAAGCCCTGAGGGGTGGGGTTGGGGTATGCAGAGGAAGTCGTCACCTGGTGCTGTTAAGGGGGTAAACGTT